CCAATGTCCATTCAATCATTCTCAGTTAGATCCTTCTTTTTGATAAAAGACACAAGAGCAAATGTGAACAGACAGGTCCTAGATCATTCATATTTCATTGCACAATCAGTCTCAACAGTGGGTCTGTTCCTACCTCGATCATTTTCTTGTCTAAGATAATTTTCTCCTTTCACTGTTTCCAGACATTTTCACTCAGGTACTCCTAAAATGTTTTAAGAAGCAATACATTCCTCACCACATTTTAAAATTGATGCCTAAAATTGTATCATGTTAAAGAGTTGCTAATATATATATATCCATTGTGAAATATATATATACTAGAGGCCTGATGCCTGAAATTGTGCATGAGTAGGCCTTCCTTCCCCCAGGTGCCGGCACCGGCTTTCCTCTGGCACTCCGGACCCAGGCTTCCCTGGCAGCCCTGGCTTTGTCCAGAAGGTCGTCCAGAAGGACATCTGAGGACATCTGGTCTAATTAGCATATTATGCTATATATATATTCTAACACATTATAATGACATTTAAAAATAAACTGGCACATCACTAGTTGATATCTATCCAGTAGAATCGAAATAATATAGTAATTTAATACCCATCATACTTTTAAAATATACATAAGTCAATTCTTGTCTACCTGTAGGAAAATTTTTTGTTCCTTTTTCTTCTTGATATTATATTTCCATTCCACTTTTATCCTTTAAAATACTTATTTCATGAGCAACATACTTCTATGCAATGAAATATGTAAACAAATAGAGATAATTTTAAATTTTCAGTAACCATAGGTTCAAAGTGTTAGGAAATTCCACACAATTTCTCAAAACAACATACATATATAAATACTGATGAATAATTACTAAACATAAAATGTAAAGTTGTATTGGAATTGCAGTTCATAATGGTAAAGCCTTTTTCCCTCATATATTCAGGGATGAATATAGCAGGGTTAACATCAATGCTGAATATACGATTTGGCAGATATAGGCTGAGAAACGCTTCACTTAAATAAGTAAATAGGCATGATGGAGTCTTGTTATGACAATAGGGCTCCATTCTTTGAATTCTTCTCAGTTATATACCAAAATCCCATGATTACTTCGTGTCAAGATTATTTTTAGGGGCCTCTCACCTGATGACTTGATTAGGTATCCTTCCCTTTTGTGGGAAGCAGAGAATTGGAGCCCATCTCATTTGCAAGAGGGCTAATTACTGTATCTAGAGTCACTCACTTCCCCTTTCTTGAGCACAACCCCAGGCAATGCCTTAGGACAGTGGTTCTCAACCGACCCTTTAATACAGTTTCTCATATTGTGGTAACCCCCAACTATAAAATTGTTTTCGTTGCTACTTTCCATCTGATTTGCAAGAGGGCTAATTAGTGTATCATTAGAGTCACTCACTTCCCCTTTCTTGAGCACACCCCAGGCAATGCCTTAGGACAGTGGGTCTCAACCTTCCTAATGCCACGACCCTCTAATACAGTTCCTCATGTTGTGGTGACCCCCAACCATAAAATTATTTTCATTGCTACTTCATAACTGTAATTTTGCTACTGTTATGAATCGTCATGTAAATATCTGATATGCAGGATGTATTTTCATTGTTACAAATTGAACATAATTAAAACATAGTGATTAATCACAAAAACAATATGTATTTATATATATGTGTTTTCCGATGGTCTTAGGTGACCCCTGTGAAAGGGTCGTTCTATCCCCAAAGGGGTTGCGACCCACAGGTTGAAAACCGCTGCCTTAGGAGGTTTGGGATGAGTGTGAGCTATGCCTTTCTATGATCAAGTGATGAAAGAAAGGCATTGCTCAAAGGAGATAGGAAGGGAGAAACAGACTGATGCTTTGGTCACAGGAGCTTTCTGGGGTCAGTCCAGTTTAGGAAAGCTTATCTGGACAAGGAATCCCTTGAAACAATTTATACCCCTTGTTAAGACTTCCGTCCCCGCCCCCTCCTCCCCCAGCTCAGGACTCTTCTTATCTCCAGCATTTGTTTTTCTTATAGCTCATTTGGCACTTCAGTACCCCAGCACTGCTGATAAATGCTGGGGCTAGTCTTTAATATTTGTTTTGTGAAATGGGCCCTTTTTTCCTACCAATCTTTAGCGCATATTTTCTTAAACTTTAAGTTCTTCCGAAAGCTCCCTTAGGGCCTTGTAAATAAGACAACTATATGGGCACCGATGTTGAAGTATCCTGATCAATTCAACTGAAAGAAAGAAAAAGAAGTAGGAAGGAAAATTAAAAAATACTCTCAAAGATAGAGAGCGGATTTTAAATTACAAGAGGTTGATTCTGTGCAGAGGGCCTGCACATCAGGCTGCTGTTATCCGGCCTCCTGGGCTTACACAGACATTGATTGGTTGCCTCCATTCAACATCTATTCCTGGTTCCTCCCAGCTGCAGTACCTTTGTCTTCCTCTCTCCGAGGGTCCTAGTGCCCTTCTTTTGCTTTTGTAGCTTGTTTCAGAAGCCCAGTTGGCTCACTTCTACTGTAACTTTCTAAACAAACTTTCTCTTATAATTTGAGTTCTTGGCTCTGAATTCTTTCTTTACTGAGCTCAAGAAACCAAGGTACAGTTTCGCCGCTAACACTGCCGGTAACTTCACCAGCTCATTCTCAGTCACTTGGCTTTGATCCCATTTCCATTCTGCAGGTAAGGCCTGTTTTTTTTTGTTTTAATTAATTTTAGAGAGAGAGGAAGGGGGGGTATCAGTTTGTTGTTCCACTTATTTATGCATTCATTGGTTGATTCTTGTATGTGCCCTGACTGGGGATCGAACCTGCAACTGAAGTATGGTAGCAAACATCTCAGGTAGAAACTATAGTTTACCTTTAACCCTGCTGTTTGACTTCTGTGCTTATTTGCTTTGTTTAACAATAGAAAAGTTATTTTAGTTTTCTGAATTATATAAATCATCCCATTCGATTAAATACCCTATTAATTGTAATGTGAAATCCCATTGGTTGTGGTCATACTGGTCTTAGAGAGCACATTTTCCTTTACACCTGGGAAGGACAGCACATTATCCCAAGGTCAGAGGGCTCCAGTTAGCAAACCAGGTTCCTCAGTCCAGACCCGAGGGCTCTAGATGATGTGTTTCTGTCAATTCAGTGATCCAGAGACCCCAGACTGTAATTTACATAACGTGCTGCTTCCGCTTCTGGAAACTGCTTTTTGCAAATCAGGTTCCTCATTCCAAACCTTGGGATGCAGTCAATACCCTTGTGATCTTTGCCTATAAAAGTCTGGTTTTGCGACCATCTTATTACTATGAGATTTGGGGAGTGGCCCCTCATAGTCCCGGATTGCAATAAATGTGACTCTTTAACTCGACTTCTTGAGGTGTCCTTCTGTGATTCGTGGGGTACATTACAACACAACCTTGGTGTATCAGGACATCACATTAACCAACTGAGGGACCTGGCCAGGGCTAAGACCTTGTTTTTGACCTAGTCCATTACATTCCATATTAGTGACCATAGGAATTGATTGGTTCAAGCACATAATTCAATCCAAGAGATTTTGCCCATGCTTTTAGAGAGAAAGAAAGCATATAATTTATATATATATTGGCAGATGCTTCTGGCAGAGATGATTTCTTTGCTGCTGGACATGAGTGAAGTTGCTCCGGGAGTCTCTGGCAGCTATCTTGCCACCACAAGGGCAGAGAACTCTTTAAAAAAAAAAAAAAAAGATCCAACACTGTGTGTAGTACAATTTCTTTTTCCATCTTAAGTTTCTCAGAGTTCTTGGCAGAGCCACAAAATGTAGAGAAAGAAACTGAGAACTAGTCATAGTCACTTGACCCAGGATCAACTTCTCTCTGAGGCAGATAAATTCCCAAATATTCTGTTATGTGAAACAATGAATTTTTCTTATTGTTGGTTAATCTGAGTTAGTTTCCTGTTACTTGCTACATAAAAAGTGAGTTAATTTACAGTGGGGCCTTGACTTATGAGTGTCCCAACTAACGAGTTTTTTGAGATACCAGCTGTCTCTCCGCAGATTTTTTGCATTGAGTTGATAGAGTAATTTGAGTTAGCGAGCTCCTTAACGAGCTCGGTCTTGGAACGAATTAAACTCATAAGTCAAGGCCCCACTGTAGTTCCTACTGTAATCAGAACATCTCTGCATTTATTTTGTTAGTTATTTTTTGACATATCTGGACTAATGTGTATATTTTTTAAAGAAAAAATACGATTGCTTAAGGAGATTGAAAAGCCAGAGATTTTCATTAATTTCAGGAGGGAAATATTGGTCAAAATATAGCACTTCTCCTTCTTCTACCTGATCTCCAAAGACGCTGACAGTTGGCTCAAAATGTCAGCATTCATTACGGATGGAGCTGCTGCTCATGACGTAGCTGTATCATCGCAGTGACTTCCTAGTCCATCAGTCCTGAGCAGGACTTTGTGCTCAGCCAGGCAGTGCTGGGCCAGCACAGGCTTGTTCTCATGAAGCTCCTCACAGGTGCATGCAGACAGATACACACTCAGCACACAGGCTAGCCTCTAAGAGAAGGGAGGAGGGCCATGGCAAAAGCACCCAGTGCCTTATCTCCAACAGCATGTCAGCCCTCTTATCTAGAATGAGATGAATGAGGGGCCCGGGCTGAGAGTCAAGAAAGCAAATATACAAAAATACGTATTTAGAATTGTGGCAAATACTAGGAAAGAAACAGACAAAGCCTTGTAAAAGAATAAATGGGTGAGGTTGTTTTAAAAGAGGTAGTCTGGAAAGGCTCTGTGAGATGACATTTAAATTGAGATTTGAAGGATGAATAGAAGCCTGGCATTCAAATGAAGGGAGGAGGCTGGAGTCTGGCAGCATTCCAGATAGAAAGATCAGCAACACAGCCCGGTGGTTGAGCATTGACCTATGACCCAGGAGGTTGCAGTTTGATTCCCAGTGTGGGGCCTGCAGGAGGCAGCCAATCAAAGATTCTCTCATCATTGATGTTTCTTTCTCTCCCTTTATCTCTGAAATCAATACACACACACACAGGTTTTTTTGTTTGTTTGTTTTTTGTTTTTTAAAGAAAGAACAGCAAGTACAAAGGCCCCAAGATGGGGAAGAGTGGGGATGGAGGGCAGGTGGCATGATATGAAGCTGGAGATTTAGGCAAGGGCTGAACCATGAAGATCTGTGATGGATGGTCAGGTGTTTGGGTTTTATTCCAAGCGCAATGGGAAGTTGCCAAACCATTGAAGAGTTTAAACCAGGGGTGGGCAAACTTTTTGACTCGAGGGCCACAGTGGGTTCTTAAACTGGACCGGAGGGCCGGAACAAAAGCATGGATGGAGTGTTTGTGTGAACTAATATAAATTCAAAGTAAACATCATTACATAAAAGGGTACAGTCTTTTTTTTCAATAGTTTTATTCATTTCAAATAGGCCGGATCCGGCCTGGGGGCCGTAGTTTGCCCACAGCTGGTTTAAACAGAAAAGTGACATGAACTGATTTGTGATTTAAGAAGATCACTGTTTTGAAAACGAACTGGGCAGGTACAAGAACAGAAACAGGGAGGTCAATTGGGAGCATGTAGCTGTAGTCCAGCTGAGAGATAATGGTGCCCTGAACTAGAGCAGCAGCAATGGAGATAAACAGAAGGCTAGACAGTTTGCTGATGGAATAAATATTATTAAATATGGGAAGTAAGGAACATTTGATTGTTGGATAGAACAAAAAACAGTATTCCCTTCCTCTCTTCTTTTTTTCCTTCTTTTCCTTTTTCCTCCCTTTCTTTGTCTTATTATTATTATTAAAAGATCAGACAGAGGCCGAAAACCAGGACTACAGGCTTTATTAGAGGAGAAGCACCTGCCAGGTTGTCTTGCAAGGGGAGAACAGCAGCATGTACAGGGGTGGGCACGCCTTTTGAGGGGTGGAACGGGAAGGGGTGGGGGGCTTAGTGTACTCAGCGCACACTGATTGGTGGCTTACTGCATTGTCCATATAGCACAAGGGCTTAGGGTATTTGGCAGTGTGGATTGGTGGTCCAATGTATAGTCCATATAAGGTACATGGTTAGTCACTCAGGTATTTCTGGGCTGTAGGTTATGTCATACTCTGCCCACCAGTTGGGGGAAGGGAGGATCTATCAATTATTCTTAGTATGGAAAGGATACATCAATATTTTATTTGTAGACATGTTAAGTTTGAGTTACTAGTACATAGTTGATATTCAACTGTATGAATATATGAATTTGGAATTTACATTTGGCATATACATTTGGAGATTATCAGCAATAGATGGCATTTCAAGCCATGGGAGTGACTGAGAGCACCTAGGGAGAGAGTAGACAAAGAGAAGAGGCCAAGGAATCAGGTGGTCCCCAACATTTACAAGTGTGATAGGAACAAGTGTGCTAGAGAGAAGATTGAGAGTGAGTAGCCAGGTGGGTAGGTGGAAAACCAGAGTATAGCAGGATGGAAGTCAAGGGAAGAGTCTTTCAAAGAGGGCGGGGCCAACTGTACTACATGCACCACCAGAGCAGTAGGAGAGGGAGACAGAGATGCTTTCTGCATTTGGCTTCCTAGGGGTCTTACCTTGCCCTTGACAAGAGCAATTTCACTGGGGGAAGGAAAGCTAATGGAAACAGAGTTATAGGCAACCTTTCTGAAAGATTTTGCTGTGGAGGGGAGTAGAGAAGCTATAAAGAGAAGAAAATGTGGGGCCAAGGGAGGGACGTGTGTGTGTGTGTGTGTGTGTGTGTGTGTGTGTGAGTTTATTTTCCAGTTTGTGGGCTGGGTGGGTGGGAGATTTAAAAGCTGTTTGTTTATTATTGGAGATGATCCAGTAGGGTACAAGACAGTGGCATGAAGAAGAAAGGGGCTAAGCAAAGCAATGAAGTCCTTGAGAAGGAGACTGAATCCAGAGCATAGTGTTGAGACTGAAAATGGAGATCCAAGGCCTGTTCATGTACTTAACAGGAGAGAAAAAGGAGATGAGAGAAGTGAGTAGGCAGAAGAGATGCGGGAGGTTCTATCTGACACTTCTCTTTTCTTTTTTTAAAATTTAAATGCTTTATTGTTGAAAGTATTACATATGTCTCCTTTTCCCCCATTAACCTCTCTTCGCCCGCTCCTCCCCACCTCCCCCCAGCACATGCCCTCATCCCTCTACTGTCTGTATCCATTGGTTATGCTTATATGTATGCATACAAGTCGTTTGGTTGATCTCTTACCACCACCCCCCCCCACCTTCCCCTGCTTTTCATCTGAGGTTTGATGGTCTGTTCAATGTTTCTATGTCTCTGAATCTATTTTTGTTCATCAGTTTATGTTGTTCATTATATTCCACAAATGAGTGAGATCATGTGACACTTCTAATATTTTAATGCTGTCATATGTAAATCAAAATTTGATTTTATTTATAACACTGTGGGGCTGTCCATAGACATAAATTCACACACACATACATACAAACAACTTTCTTGGTTAGGACATGTGTGCAAAATTTTTTTACTATAAGTACATTCTAATCAACCATATTTAGAATTAAATATAAAAGAACCGACAGTATTCTATAATTATAGATATAATTACTGACATTTGAAATCTGCTTGGTTGAGTAAACCAGATAATTAGAATTTCTTGTTAAATAGGCTGAGGTTCCAACATATGTAGGACTGAGTACTTTGCACAGAGAAAATATTCCTTGGCTAGAGAACTACATTCTTCACCTGGGCCAGGTATTTCAAAAATATGCTGTTTTGGTCATAAGGGAGCACAGATGGGGATGGAATGGGTGGGGAGAGAGATATTACACATGATTGTGCAATTTCATTACCACTGTTGGGAAAACAACACAAAGCCATGACCAAGTTGGTAACATTACCTTTGGCCTATAAGGAACAGTACATTTTTTGGCTGACTATTACCCTCAATAATTTATCTTGATGTTACACAATGCATTTCCTTATGAAAACTCAGAGAGCCTTATGCAAGTTACTTCATTTGTCTACACAGCGTTGGGAAGCTGAGAGCTGTTGTCTTGACCAATGCTGTTCCATGGAAATATGACATGGCCACGTATGTAATTTAAAATTTTCTAGTACCTACATTTAAAAAAGTAAAAAGAAACAGGTAAAATTAATTTGGATGTTATATTGATCTAACCCCGGATATCTAAAGTATTATCATGTCAACGTACAGTAAGTAGACATAAAAACTTGTTCATGAGATATATTGCATTCTTTTGTCGGTACTAAGTCTTTGAAATCTGTTGTGCATTTAACACTGAGAGCACATCTCAGTGTGGACAGCCACATTTCAAGTGCTCAGGAGCCACATGGCATCTCCGCTTTAGAGAATACTGGAAAGATGATGCGTGGCCCCAGGATCCACAGCTCAGGCTCTATTGCAAGGTAATATAATGTGAGTCACAATTTGTCATTTTCCGGCTCAAAATCCTCCCAAGACTCCCCCTCACTCCTAGGACAACAGCTAAAGCTCTTACCTATGAGGCTGAATCTGACACAGCCCTGCCTTCCTTGCCAAATTTATGGCCTACCAATTCCCCTCCTCTGCACCCACCCCCACTCCCACCCTTACCTCAGCATCTTGGCACTTCCTCCTCCTCAGGCCTGGAATGCATTTTCTCATGGCTCCATCCCAGAGTTCATTCAGGTATTTGCTGAAACTCATCTCAGGAAGGCCTTTGATCTAAAATAGCTCTCCTCTCTAGCCAGTCTCCAGCTACTTACCTGCTTTCTTAGTGTTCATTACAGTAGGCACGGAAAATGGTACACACATACTTACCTGGCAGGGGAGAGATGATCACAAAGGTGGTTTTCCCAGGCGAGGCTGATCTACTGTGCTCCAGATGCGCTGACCCCTGCGATTTCCCCAAATGTGGGAAACTCGACTGCATCATTTGTGGTAGTGGGGGCCTGCATTCATGCTCTCCCTTACAATCAAAAGAAAATGTGCATGCGTATTAAAATGTGTTTGTCGTCTGTCTCCTACACTAGAAAGTAAGTTCTATGAGGTGAGGGGTGTTGCTTTGAACACTGTTGGATCACCAGCACCGGGACTAGTGCCTGGCACACAGCAGGTTTGCTGAATGGATGAGTGAAAAGTGTTATTTTTGGCACATTGTTTAGAAGGTATAGTGCAGCGTTTAGAGTGTAAACTCGGGAGTCAGACTCTTTGAGATCAAATGTCAGCCTATCTGCTTTCTATCTTCATTCCTTTGAGCAATTGCTTAACTTCTTTAAACTTCAGGTTCCTTATCTGGAAAATGAGAGGCTTATTAATAATAGCATCTAGCCCAAGACGGTTTGGCTCAGTGGATAGAGCGTCAGCCTACGGACTGAAGGGTCCCAGGTTTGATTCCTATTTCATAGAAATAATGTTGCTTTGGAGATTAAATGAGATAAAGTATGTAAAGTACTGTAACGAGGAATTGTAACCCACCCCACCTTCTTTTGACATTGTTTCTGTAAATGCTTATTGTGACTAATACGTAGCTTGTAGATAAACAGCATGTTTATGTAAGAATCCTAGGAGCTAACGTCAGAAGACACAGATCCCAACCGTTAAGTCATCCCAGGTCCAGGAGACTTGCTGACCTCCCGCCACAGAAGCAGGATGACGAAGTCCAGGATGATGCACACCAGACCATCACTTGACCAGTTTCAAGATCATTATCAGAATGGACCATGCTGGCCTGCATGTAGAGAACTTTTTAACCCCCTTCCCTGATCTCTTTGTTGTGCTTTCCTTCTCCCTCCGTATAAAAACCTCTGCCTGTACGGAGATGTTGAGATCGGCTTTGTGACAAGAGTCCCCCATTTCCTCAGGTGACCGGCACTTGATAAAAACCTCTTTCCTTTTTCACCAGCATCTGTCTCAAGGGTTTGGTTTTTTGTGATGGCAGGCGGCCAGAGTTGGGTTCCGGTTACAGTACCTCATATAGTGTCTGGCTCATAATAAGCACTCAAGAATATGTTCTAGGTGGCCAGGGACAGGCTAGAAGGGGTCAATGGGGAAAAAAGAGAGACATATGTAATACTTTCAACAATAAAGACATAAGTAAAAAGAATGTTGTGTTATTACCTTTAGTTAAACAGAGATTAAAATGAGTGCTATGGCCCTGCAGGTGTGGCTCAGTGGTTGAGCGCTGACCTATGAACCAGGAGGTCACGGTTCGATTCCTGGCCAGGGCACATTCCTGGGTTGTAGACTCGATCCCCATTGTGGGGTGTGCAGGAGGCAAGCGGACCAATGATTCTCTCTCATCATTGATGTTTCTATCTCTCTCTCCCTCTCCCTTCCTCTCTGAAATCAATACAAATATATGTTTCGTTAACAAACAAATGAAACAGCTGTCCTCCAATGTACCCTGTCCCATATCACTGCCCACCATTTCTTATGCTTTGCCTTCCCAGAGGCAACCACTATCCACTATTTTATCCAGTTGCTTTGGAATTATCCATGTCTCAAAAGAACATTTGCATTACTGTTTTAAAAATAAATTTTGTGACTTCCAACTCTCAGAGGTGAAAATTTAGCTCATTTTCAACAAATCCTATGATGTCCACCACATACACGAACACCTTCCTTGTCTTTTCAACATGACAGTGACTTCATTGTATATTGATTTGATTTGACTTTGTAAATGTTATGCACACCTGGGCCATAGAGTATTCTATCCTATTAATACATACCTTTTCCTATACAACTTTTTTTTTCTTGAGTTAATAATTGTCTTTTCCCCCTGTAACTTGGATTTTGTAACAGAGGCTTGACTCCATTTTTTATGTTTGACTGTTGTCAGCTTTCAATTTCCACTTTTTTTTTTCCTATCTGCTCCACATCTGGGCAACTAAGTTAAGAATTACTGTGTAATTCTTAATTACAACAGCTGATGGGAATTTCAAATAATGCAGACTAGCCCATGCCAAGGGAATTCCCCACTATTCTGACTCGACCATTTAACCACAAAAAAGCCCCAAACCACCCGGCTCAGTGGTTGAGCATCGACCTATGCTATGCACCAGGAAGGAGGTCATGGTTTGATTCCCAGTCAGGGCACATGCCCGGGTTTCGAGCTTGATCTTCAGTAGGGGGCGTGCAGGAGGTAGCTGATCAATGATTCTCTCATCATTGATGCTTCTATCTCTCCCCCTCCCTTCCTCTCTAAAATGAATACAGATATATTTTTTTAAAAAGCCAAACCACCTGTATCCCTTTGCTTATTTCTCATCTGACCGATGAATGAGCCCCTTTTCTGCTGGGAACCCCAGCTTAGTGTTCGTACTAAAAATACTTTATTTAGATTCACCGTGAGTGTATTGTGTCATGTGTCTAGATAGCCAATAAATTCCTGAGTGGGCAATCATGACACCGCTTGGCAGACTGAGCTATGTAGTCTCTACATACTTACCGTTAATACATCTCCAAAGTGGTCCCGCCCCCAAATTTTATTAATTTCCCTCAAAATGCCTTAAACACTAGTCATTGTACCCAGGCCATTTTCTTGATGCTTCTCCCAGGGCCTCTGCCCTGCTCCAGGTCACTGATTGTTTGACCTTTAGGTTCCCTCAGAGCTGCGGCCTTAGATGTTCCTTTCACCACCCACCTACTTTCCCATCTATCAGAACCTTATATCCTGGATTTCATTTTCTCTTTTCTTATTTTGGTTAAACAGATCCTCTGATAGCTTCCTGAGAAATGGACCTTTGCGGTAATGTTTTTGACCTTGCACGTCTGAAAAATCTATATACTACCTTCCCACTTAATAATTTGGCAGGGAAACACTACATTAGAAATCATGGAAGGAAAAAAAAAATCATTTCCTCTTACTATTTTCTGGCATCAAGAAGTCCGAGGCTATTCTGATACTTGATTCTTTTTAGAATCCTATTTTTCTTTCTTGAAAGTTTTTAGAATATGGGGTGAGCAAAAGTAGGTTCACAGTTATAATACAAACAATGCAATAAATAATAAATAATAAGATGTGCCTCGGTGTGGGTTCATTTTCATCCATTGTCTTGGGAGCTCAATAGGCTCTTTCAATTTGGAAAGTCATGTTCTTTCATTCCAGGGAATTTTCTTGAATTGTTTTCTTTGATAATTTTTCCTCTCCATTTTTGCTGTTCTCTCTTCCTGGAACTCCCATATTGAACTTTCTGGACTAGACAGTAACTTCCTCATCTTTTTACCTTTCTCTTTTCATCTCATTTTACTTCCTGAGAGATTTTTCAAGCTTTTTATTTTATTTTATTTTATTTTATTTATTTGATTTACTTGTTAATCCTCACCTGAAGATATTTTCCATAATTTTTAGAGAGAATGGAAAGGAGGGGGAGACAGAGAAACATCGATGTGAGAGAGGCACATCGATTGGTTGCCTCCCGCACACACCCCAACCAGGGCAGGGCTGGAACCTGCAGCCCGGGTACATGCGCTTGCCCAGGAATTGAATCCCAGGCTTTTTTTGGTGAGCAGGCCCAAGCTCTAACCACTGAACTACACCAGCCAAGGTTCCCAGAAGCTTATTCAAGCTATATGTGCCCCTTCCTCCTCTGCCCCTCCAGTTCCTGCCTAGGAAGTTCTAGAGTAGTCCTTTGAAAATGCTACCCAAGTGCTGTATACTGAATATTTACCCATCCCCCAAGTCATACATTGAAACCTGACCCCCCAGTGTGATGGTATTCGAAGGGTCTTTGGGAGATGATTAGATTAGAAAGGTGAAGTTGTCATGAATGGGATTATTGCCTTATGAAAGAGGCCCCAGAGTGCCCCCTCACCCCTTCTGCCATGTGAGGACTTGGTCGGAAGTTGACAATCCACAACCCGGAAGAGGGTTCTCACCAGAACTCAACCATGCTGGCACCGGATCTTGGACTTCCAGCCTCCAGAATTGTGGGAAACGTTTCTGTTATTTACAAGCCACTCAGTCCATGGTGTTCAGTTATGGTGACCCAAGCCGACTAAAACACCAAGTAATTTTGGTATGACTCATCCTCATGGGTGAGGCATACTGGATGAAATGGCAGTCATGACCAAACTGCATGTTATTAAGCCGTGACTGATGTTTGCTACAAATGGTTCCACAAGTGACAGCTGTAGAATGTTTAGTTCATTTACAAACACCAGCGAGAGTCGAAAGGAGCCTCTTTTTCAGAGTCAGTTGTGCATTTTCAATACCACCATTTTCATTTCATAATGTAGGAAAAAGCAAAATACAGTGCTGGACTTTAGGAGTTTTGATCTACTTATTAACCTGTTTGAGTTGGCCAGTTCCTTGAATTCTCTCTGCTTCAGAGTAGTTCTATCTATACAATAAGGGGAGCCATAATTATTCCCAACCTAGAGCAAAAGAAAGAAAAGTGCCACACACCATGCTACAGAAATGTTTTTTTAAAATTTTTAATTGATATTTAGAGAGAGGAAGGGAGAGGGAAAAGAGGAGAGAGAGAGAGAGAGAGAGAGAGAGAGAGAGAGAGAGAGAGAGAAACATCGATGTGAGAGAAAGACATTGATCCACTGCCTCCTGTATGCTCCCTACTGGGAACTGAGCCCCCAATCCGGGCATGTGTCCTGACCAGAATGGAACTGGCAATCTTTTGGTGCACGGGACCATGTCCAGTCAACTGCACCACACCTGCCAGGACCAGAAATATGTTTTAAAGGAAAAGACTTTGGTAACCACAGTGTGTCTCAATCTAGAACTGGAAACTGTGTGCCGATCTTGGGGCATCTCTAAGCACATTTCTTTGGGTAACATAGTGTGTGTTAGTTAGAAATGGTGGTATTTTCTTATGTAAACTTCTAGTGTATAAATTACATAACTATGAAAAACGGGAATAAGGTGCCACTGTGATACTTATGCATGGTTTATTTATTTATTTTTTAATTTTTTATTACAAAGGGTATTACATATGTGTCCATTTTA